ACTTTTCCCTCTTTGTTTTTAGGCATTTTGGGACAATTTTTAAATTGAGACATAGCCCACTCGTAGGGGTCATCTGCCTTCTCTATCCCATCAAACATTTCTACTGAGCTGTGTTTAGCGATGTATTTAACTATCAACTCTTCCATTTTCACAATCTTATTAAATTGTGTTCTGCAATTCAGTAGGCTTATTTTCCTTCACTGACTGAACATTATCTAGTTACTTTAAGATACCTGTTAGTCTAATTTTTCACAGCTCCTGTGCTTTGGATGCAAATGAATAAAACAGCCACACTACGTCGGGCTTCTAAACTAAATTTTTCACTTCTCCAGACACGGCCACACTCCGTCGGGCCTTACACTTCACTACACTAAACTGTTAAAAATGTAACACTGTCACGGTATGTCGGACAAAACCACACTACTTCAGGTTTTATGTTACATTTTTAAAACAGTTTACTAAGCCACAGTATGTCGGGCAAATCAACACTGTTTTCAGGCTTTAAACTTCACAGTGTCGCGGTGCGTCGGACTCACTACACTATAACACACAACAGTTATGAAATAATTCTGTGACCACACTGCGTCGGGTTGATTCAGTTACTTTAAAATTTCATCAGAATTTCACAACAACTAACTCCGTTTCAATTATGTTGGAAACTTACAACTCGGTTTCAGTTACTTTAGAAACAATAGGTCTAATTCAACTCTGCTACCACACTACGTCGGGCTGATTCAATTACTTTAGAATCTTAACAGAATTATAACAAATGTCTTACACTTCAGGCAAAACAAGCACTTACAGCTTCAACTTCTGCAACTGTTTAAAAAAATATAACAATGTTTGTCACAGTACATCGGACAAAACCACAGTACGTCGGGTCTTAGTTTCGTTTGAATCTTAAACAGAATTTGTACAGAATAGGCTTAAGAACTCCTCCTACTAATACTGACTAAACCAAATTCTCTTCTGTCCTTAAAATGTTATTTTCTAGATTTTTTTAAACGAGGGGGTTCCCTGACAAAAACAACAGAAGAAAGAAACTGCTTTTAATACAAATCTTGTGTAATCCCAGGCTATCTGTAATCAGAAGCACATTTAAAACTGGAATATAATTTAATTTCATTCACATGTGTTTCACATGTGTTTCATAAATTGATACATTTAATTATTCTAGCTGCTGTGAGAAAAGGCTACAAACTATCCGCCACCTGCAGGATCCTCACATGCGATAGCCTAGTAGCCGGGACAACTTCTTTATGTTTACGGACGTGACGTAATGACGCAGTGCCATGCTCGAATTTCCCGCGAAAACCTACCCGTACCACTCGAATTAGAAAACATTATTATAAGCTATCTGTTGTGAATTGTAAAGTAAGGCGATAGTTTTGAACACTGGCTGGTTATGTACTTGCTCAAATATTGATTTTGGATCATTTTTAACCAAAAAAAGTTACGGACTGCAGCTTTAAGGACAACTGCACCAGTTTGGAGAACATTGTTCATAAAAAAGCAAACAAGACTTGTCTTTTCCATGAATATACAGTTGTTGATTACTGAATAAATGGTTTGTACACTCTTGTGCATTACTGTTGTATATTTTGTTCTGGTTAATTAAAAAGAAGAAGAAGAACCGGCATGCAATGCTTCGGTCTGCGCAGTGCTGAATGAAATCGAACACACCTACTGGTACCACAACATGATCGCTGTACAACCTGGGGCCCGTTTCAATAAGGAGGTTCAACCAACTCAAAGTTAAAACTTGAACTCTGAGTTGACTTACCCTTAGATGGGAAACTCTGAGTTTTTGGTTTCAGAACAGCTGAATTGTGTTAGTTCAGTCGACTCTGAGTAGGTTGACTCTGAGTTTAGCGCGTGCACCACGACTATGAGAAGTCATGATCAATGGAGCTCCGAAATTATGATTCACCATGGCAACAGCACTGACAAAAAGACGTCCACATACTTTGAGTCAACGCATAAGTTTAATTCTTAATCACTGTTATAATAACAGAGGTCAAAACTGGCAGAACGGTAGGTTATTGAACTAATATTAATTTTCATGGTATCCCATGGGCAAAAAAAAAAAAAAAAACGAAAAGGACTTACTGTTTCAAAAAACATAAAAAATCTTTTATGAACATTAAATTGTGCTGCTATATTTGATTTGGAATTCACATGTGAAAATGTCTAAAACTTGAAACAAATTCAGATGCAATTTCACTGCCTGAAAACCATGTCTTAGTGTTTCAAAAGCTTCAAAAGCACTTTAACATTGTGTTTCATCTTGTAATTTCAAATCAATTATCATAGCACAAGTGAAAGTCGTGAAAGTCAATCTTTTTCAGTGTACCCCACACAACCCACACGTAAGTAGATGTTGACTTGTGCAGTCACCACTGGAGCATCGCTGTCTGTCAGTATAGTAATGCCAATAGACACTGGCATCTTTCCTGACCCTTTGGTTGTTGTATGGATCACATCTTTCAAACTGGCATACAATTATGTACCCAAATGCCTGACTTCCACAACAACATATTCTTCATCACTGCCCTTCATCACCCTCATTGCTTCTATCCTCCTTGGTCCTCAACAACTTGTTTTATTACTACAACCTGATTTTCTGATGCACTCATATCACTATCATCAATACTTTCTGAAATAAGTACAGATTTGTCTCTCCATCTTCCAAAAATCTTACAAAAATGAACCTAAAACACATGCATAAAGGCTATTATACTGCCCGCCAATGCTGGTCAATAGTGCCAGCTACACAAAATATGCATCACATAATAGGACTTTGTCAGTTATGCATGTCGCTCAGATTTGTTGGTCTCTGAGTTGTTGTTTTTATAAAAGTGCATTAAAAATGACAAAAAACTTTAGGAAACACATTTGGATGTACAATTATATTTTTTATAACTTGAATTTATATGTATTTTCTAGTCTAAAATGAGCTCACTATGAAGCCTTGAGAGCATGTGACCTAACGTGCTAATGTCTCCTTTACTACTTAGTCACCAAAAATGTGAAGCACATGGCTAATAAATTTTAATTTTACTGGTAGAAGGGGATGTCATTTGACATCACTAAAATAAAATTTTGTTGGTTGAACATTAATATTGTATTTTAAAATGCAATTTTCTTAGCGTCATTTATAAATGACGATATCCCATAGAGGGATAAGGAATCAAAATTGAGGGGTTTGCTTATATGTAAGCATATGCCATTATTTTTCTTCATAATTTTTTTTTCTGATTTATTTATTTATCATTTTAACTTGACTTTTTATGCCTCTTTTTATTCCTCCACTTTTGATTGATTTAACACTATTGATTTTAATATAATTTGATTAAAAAACATGTCTTGTCTCAAAAATAGCCTAAATTAAATGTTATTATTTTAATTACATCTTAGATGTTAGATTACATGTTTGTCATTGTGTGTAATTAGCTCACTACCTAATTAATTCACATGATCGGCAACAAACAGGTGTTTGTAACCTCCTTGTAACAGTTAGGATATATCCAGCATTTGTAGCCTACTATTATTAAAATTAATATATATATATATATATATATATATATATGAAGAGATCAAAAAGAAAAGAAAAGAAGAACGTGACAGCAGCTAAAAATGAAGTATAAAAACAATTCAATCAGGTAAAGCTTTAAGCATAAAATGTTCATGGGTGTAGGCTAGGCTAAATGACTTTACAAACATTTGATATATTAAATAAATTTAATTCAGTGTCTATTTCAATGTGCAGCAGCTTTTTTTCACATACTCTAATCTGCCTGAAAACCATGTCTTAGTGTTTCAAAAGCATTAAAACAACTTTAACATTGTGTTTCATCTTGTAATTTCAAATCAATTATCATAGCACAAGTGAAAGTCAACAAGACTCTTCTATTTCAATATACCCCACACGTCCCACACATAAGTAGATGTTGACTTGTGCAGTCATCATTGGAACATCGCTGTCTGTCAGTAGTATTGTATTGCCAATAAACACTGGCATCTTTCCTGACCTCTGGTTGTTGTATGGATCACATCTTTAAATACAATAATGTACCCAAGTGCCTGACTTCCACAACAACCTATTCTTCATCACTGCCCTCACCCTCATTGCTTCTAACTTCCTTGGTCCTCAACAAATTGTTTTATTACTACAACCTGATTTTCTGATGCACTCATATCACTATCATCAATACTTTCTGAAATAAGTACAGATGTGTCCATCTTCCAAAAATCTTACAAAAATGAACCTAAAACACATGCATAAAGGCTATAATACTGCCCGCCAATGCTGGTCAATAGTGCCAGCTACACAAAATATGCATCACATAATAGGACTTTGTCAGTTATGCATGACGCTCAGATTTGTTGGTCTCCGAGTTGTTGTTTTTATAAAAGTGCATTAAAAATGACAAACCGTGATGTGCTCTGATTGGACAGCTATCCAGTGTTGTGATTGGCTGAATACCTTAAGCGTGTAACGGAAATGTTACGCCCCTTACCATACTGTGATGCCCTGTGTCCCGGCGCGACAAGACAAAAACAATAAAACCCATTACAAACGAGGCATTTGTTGCATCCAGTGGGGACATAATTACTGATTATAATGACTTATACTGTCTTTTTACGTATTGCGTATGTCATAAAACCATGTCTGCATTTGTGATTGTGATTGTGTCAAACTCACATTTGAATCATCAGTGGCAAATTCTTTAAATATAAAAAACATACTTACAGGCTGAGTCGGAAGCACCAGACTGTCCTTGCAAAGTTGGAACTGCCCCACTTTATAGAAACAGACACCGGCTACTGTAGTCTACTCTTCCAGGATCAGGAAACAGCCCTCATCCTCCGCAAAATGCGCTGCACACATCTGAATATTTGGGTTGAACTGTTCTGGAACAGTGTTTTAAATACAACTCTCAGTCTTTGAAAGTAATTAACACAGTTTAGGGACGAGTAGTAGGTTTTTAAACTTTTAATTTGAAGCAGATAAATATGTAAAATTAGTGTTAAGGTTTGAGACCCATTGCAAAACCCCTGATTTGCGAATGCTGAAACGGCACTCCCTGGCCTCCCCTAATGATCCTCTTGAATCCTCTAGTGGAAGGTTACTGTCCGGGGAAGCTGACGGTCATGCCGTCCCGTCGAGGATGTTCTTCTGATAGAAACTGCTCTGGAGGACACAAATGCTGTTAATTTGACTGTGGGCCTTTTTGCATTCTGCCTGTTTCCAGTGAGTTTCAGTTAATAACGGATGATGGGGGTCCTCCAAAATGTTTTAAGCAGAGACCGAAATGTTATGTAAAGCTTCTAACTTAAGTGAATGGAAATGTTCCGCATTCGGTGATGTTTTCTGTCTGTATAACAGCAAAGCCAGGAGAGTGTCCACCCCAATCATCTGGAAGATTGTGTACCAGGTCCTGTCGGAGTGACTCTAACTGTCCCAACAATAAGAAGTGCTGCAGCAATGGATGTGGACGTTACTGTAATGCTCCATATCCAGGTATTTGTGTTATATTGTTTTGGTCCGTTGTTGATAAATTGTCTTTTGTTGTGCTCGTCTAAAGTAGGTTTGAATTAATCCCTTAGGATAGTTTTAAACGCAGGATGGCTTTACAAAATAAAGAGGAATGATACTTAGAATATAATTCACTCTGTAGGTAAAAATTGCTATTCATGCTTTGAGTGTTTCATTCTGTATATTGAAGTGGCATACTGTGTGTGTGCGCGTGCGTGTGTGCGTGTGTGTGCGTGTGCGCGTGTGTGCGTGTGCGCGTGTGTGCGTGTGTGTGTGCGTGCGCGCGCGTGTGTGCGCACGCGTGTGTGCATAAACTAAAGCTGACTATCCGTGTCCATGCAGTGAAGCCGGGTCAGTGTCCCGACCCAAAGAACATTCCACTGTGTGCTGAAAGCTGTTTCCATGATGGCCAGTGTCCTGCCACACAGAAATGTTGCCCAACCACAAGAGGCGGTCCTGGGACTTTTGCATAACACCTACCTTTTTATTTTTTTATTTTTTATTTTTTTCCCAGTTCAGTGATTTATTCATATGGCATGTTTTCCAGCAAAGTGGTCAGGGAAGCGATGAGGGAAGCGGCCAGGGAAGCTGCCAGGGAAGCGGTCAGGGTCAGGGAAGCGGTGAGGGAAGCGGTCAGGGTCAGGGAAGCGGTGAGGGAAGCGGTCAGGGCGAGGGAA